GCGAAGGTATGATTGGAGCATTGTCGATACAAAGTTTGTTTGCTTCTTCCGCTAAGACTATCGCAGAACGTAAGCTAAAACTACCAGTTTTTGGATAATTTATTCATCTGTTCACTTCTGACCAGCAGCAAACCAAGGACTCTTTCAGTTTCACAGGAACGATGAGATTTTTCATAAAGTGACAAACTGCCTTTTAATTATTCTTCTTGAATTTCAGGCAGGCATTCCACTGTCATTCGAACTGCCAGCTGGAGTAGCAGCTGAACATGTCTTCAGATTTTCTGTTAAAGCAATCAGTGTTGCGCAAAAACTAAGGGGCAATTTGACGTTCTTCGTGGACGTATGTTTTTGCTGCCTTATTTTTGATCTCTCACTGCTTCTTTTTATTGTTTATTGCGCTGTTTTTTGAACTGCCACGTACATTTTCAGCGTGAGAATGGTGTGGCACAGGATAAGCTCGACTTCATTATTCTGATGCCAGCTGTATCATTCCTGATACCAGCCACCATTACAAGGTAGATAGTTTGCTATACAAATACAACAAGGAAAAAGAAAGAGAAGATTACGAAATATTCGAGGGAAAAAATTTTTAGAAAAGGTAAAAAAATGGGAAAAAGAAAGATAAATGATTTGTTAACTTGTTCTTCCTTTACATGGAGCGTTAAGATGAAGGATTACCTTGTTTCTATTGAGCCAAAAAACTTTCGAAGATGCTTGTTATTTGCGTTGATTTTAATTTAAATCAACTGAAAATGGCTTGCTGCATGGTATATATTTCAGTGAATCATATGAGGTGCTGCTGAGTTCAAACGATGTTGAATACAAGTCCTCGGCGCAGTTCACCACTAATCTTTCCTGGACATCCGTTTTAAAGAAAATTTGCTTCTTTGGCCATTTTAATGGTAATGTTATGTGACTGAAGCTAATTTGTCTTTTTTTTTTACTTGAATTTGATCATTTTTCTTTGTGTTTTAGAAGTAACTGTTAGGATTTTTGATTTTGCACGGCTGAAAATCATGTATCTCGTTGTTTTTCTTCGTCCTATTACTCATTTTCGTCCTCCTACTCCTATTACTCATTTTTATTCGTTTTATGCCCTCCCCAACTTAACTGTCTTGCAGTGGTGGAGCAACATGGCACATCAGCATCGCTCTACGCACATACAATCAAAGCGGAGCCGGTCTGTGTTCTCATCAAACAGCCTCAGGTCGGCACCTTTTTCAGCATCAAAACCTCTTTTATCGTTCCTCTCATTCTGCTTCTCTTCTAGCATTTTCTGTATTTTTTCATCTCTCTGTTTTTTTATTTCTGTGCATTCTAGTATAATAGTTGAGCTAACCAAGTTTATATTAATTAAGCGGATGCCTAGAGGCAGAAAATGGGCGATAGGCACCCATTATGGGTCTGGAAAAGTTGGGAAAGTTTGGATCTGGAAAAGTTTGGGGGAGGGGAAGGGCAAAAATCAACTTGGGGACAGAAATTAGAATTATGGCAGCTCTAAAGATTATCATTCTCTGACATCACTGACGAAGCTGTACCGAGCTATATTACGGGTGTCACATTTGATCCAGTGGAAATGAAAGATTCTTATGGTGCAAGTGGATTAAGCGGCCTGTCTCAAAATTTTAGCTTACTGAACAACAAAAAAAATAAATGGCAACGCGCACCAGACTAGCCGGTGCGATCATGCGTTTTGTGCAATTCA